CCACGTTAAAGTAAAAAATAATTCAACTTTTTATTCTTTCTCTTTGGCATGATATAAAATGATACACTGCCCCCTGCTGGTTGGGGACCCCTGTTAGAGGCCTGAGAGACCTAATTTTACATTTTACAATCAGACATCTTGAAATACACGAATTAGTCACATATACTGCCGGGCTCCAGACTGTGGTACTGTAGTGGTCCACATCAAGTATTTGGAGTTTACTAAATTTTGTAACGCTAGCAGAGCCAGTGCAACTCGCAAACAGAAAACCAAGATAAATCCTGAAAAAAAAAACTTTTGTTGTCCTTTACTGGTGCAGGATCTATTAGTAACTTGATGAGAATATTTTTAAAATGTATTGCTTTGCATGCTGTACATTGTGCTTGTAAAATAAAAATTGCCGACTTGGTCTGGGGCCCTGCACCGACAGCACAGAGTAACATGTCAACACAATGTGCATGTCCACCGATCCCAGAGTTTGACTCAAAATCTCCCGTCTGAATTACGGAAATATATCATCAAGTTATTTTGAGTAACAATGTTGTAATAAGGAACATTTTAAAAAAATGCTATTTATGAGAAGATAAGTTGGTCTTTTTAAGTGTAAATAGAAAATTATTTGGGTTTTGTTTTTACATAAATGTCATCCTGAAAGATGTTGTCATTCATTTCTTGTTCACTCATTTCTGCGGGATAAAGGAGAAATCTTTGTCTAATGTTTAACTTTCTGCCTTCTCTCGTAACAAACGTAACTTTGTTAGCTTTTTAGCATTTATATTGGTTAACCATTAGTAATCAGTCCAGTGCTGAGGATTAGACTAAAAATAGAATGTGTTTTTTTTCTCTTCTAACTCAATAAATTAGTATCAATCGTTAATCTGAATTTTTACTGAGACCAATCTAAAAAAAAGCTTGCTAATATTATTTCAACAAACCGCCATTTGTTGGTTGCCAGATCTAACAATCACAACAGACAACCACAATAAACCACGTAACCAATAAAACCACGGACCAACAGACTGATTGAACTGCCAATAATACAAATTACGGCCAAGATAATAAACATAAATGTTTACTCACTGTTTGTCTCTGTTGACATCGTAATGGCAGCAATAAAACGGCGTGTGGTCAGACATCAGTGAAACGACAGAGCTTTTAGCTTCAAATCCAAGTCAACGTCCAACAGTCAGCGCTGCCTTTGTTTTCTTAAACCAACAACTGTTAAAATCCGACTTCAGAGGTGTAGGTTGTTGAAATGGGATTTAAAACGTCTGTCAAACTTTTTCCCGTGATCCTCCTCGGTCTTTGACCAACATGAGATCAACCTGTCGATTCACCTGTTGACTTGAGACTGTGTTGCCAGATCTCGCAAAACTTCAACCATGGACAGAGTTTTCGATAGTTAGCTGTCTAGTTCGAGAAAAAAAACATACGAAGTCGCTTATAATACGCAGACCTGGCAACTCTAACAATCGATCGTAAACATTACACCATCAGCTGTCGCAAAACAGTCGTAAAACGGCATCGTTACAGTGGCCGCAAAACAATTTCTTCGAATATTTAAATACACGTAAAAATTCGAATTATGGTATTGTAATAATTTAAGTCACTTAAATCGAGAATTGAATTAAATTTAAGTTAATTTTTACATATTAATTTTACTAATTACATCACGGAGGAGTGTTTTATTGCAGATATAACGGTAGATACTGTTTTCGAATAATATTTAAACAAAAGATGAACAATTTTGTTCAAAGTGTTTTAACAGTTTAATATTTGTAAAAATGTTTCAAAACCATTTTGTAACACACTCGGTTCCATAGATGGAAACTTTCCCAAACAAGCAAGTAAACTGTAAGTATATATAATAACTGTAGTATTTCCACAGAGCTAAAGTATGAGCTTATAAAAAACATTATTTACCCTCATATTTAATCTGTTTGAGTTTGAAAATTGACAAACAGTGATTTTAAGTCACATTTTATAAATTAAACTGATGTTATGTTGTGACTGGAACACTGTGCAGCTTTATTTCCATTTAATACAGTTATACCCAGTTCTATATGGTTGTTATTTGGTGACTCCACTTATATAAATGTATAAAAAGTCCTGGTACAAACTAAAACTCATACGTTCCTTCAGACCTGTGGCTGGTACTGTGCTAAATGCTGTATGTTTTTCCGATAACCAAATTCATACAATAACCTTTCTGCATAAGAAAAAAAATGTTTTCTGTAAAAAACAAAGTTGTATATTTCCTCACTCACACTCAACAGTACAATTTAAAAGGCCACACAGCCACAGAGGAGCCTGATTCTGAATGGTTCCAATGGCAGACACACTAACAAAGTAAAAAATACATAATTAAAATACAGAGAAAAACATGATAAAAAATAAATGAGAATGTAACACCTATGACTTACAGTAAAGAGTGATGGATAAATGAAGAGAAGACAGAAAATAATGAATAAGTCCTATGTAGGAATCAAGAGCAGGAATTGTGTTTCGATTTCTTCCTTCGTGTTCCTGGAATAGGAGTCAACCTGCAAAGGAAAGGAGACAAGGAGATGACTTTAAAGGAGGAGACGAGGGCGGAGATTACAGCATATGATGCTTTAAGTCTTTGTTATTGTTTAAATGACAGCTTGGACAAGAGTATGGTCGTGTGAAACAAAGAGTTTTTCAAAGTTTGGCCTCAAAACCGATTATTTTAAAACCACTCACCCTGAAACAACTGAGTGGAATTCAACAAAGTGACAGCGGGAGCTTCAGGCCTCCAGACTAAGCAGCTCCACATCGAAGATGAGTGTGGCGTTTGGAGGGATGATCCCCGGGTGACCTTTGCTGCCATAGGCAAAGTCGGAGGAGCAGGTCAGCTTCGCCCGCTGCCCGACACTCATCTGTGGAGAAGAACAGAGGACGGTAAGAGCTGCTGCTCTGAGATTCAATGACGACAACAACAACAACATCACTACACTAGACAAGTAAATATATCAGTATATCATGTAATAGCTTCACAAATGCAGGAAACCAAACAAGTGAACCAGTCTACACTCCTCACCTGGGCCACTCCTTCTTCCCAGCCTCTGATAACCTCCTGGTGCCCAATCTTGAATTTAAAGGGTTTTTTACGGACACGTGACGAGTCGAACACTTTTCCATCTGCCAACGAACCTGATGAGAAATAAAAAAAAATAAAAACATTAAACTGGTAAAAGATTTTCAATATTGAACAGCACTCGATGGGGGTTTGGTAGGTGAGAACTTATGATGTTATTGTAATTTGGAAACTGAATATTTGTTTTTACTGCCACCTAGTGGATGCATTTTTTTACCGGATAATATTTCAACAATTACCCTAAGAACAGAGAAAATATCGAGGACAGCGGCCCAGAACGAAATAAGTTAATAAAAGTTACGTTTTTTCTCTCTTTCTACATAAAGTTCTGAAGTCGTATTCTGTCTCTACCTGCTTACTTTATGTCAAATGAATTAGAAAACCAACGCCACTGCAAGTACCTAGAAAAATCTAAATTATATAAAATTAATAAAATAACCTTCATTAAATAAATAAACAAGACAGATATTTAGGTATAAGATGGAGAGACGGTTGTGTTTAGGGAGGGTTAACTGAAGCAGTGAAGCTAACATCAGTTGCCTAGCATGTGTGTTTTGACAGCAGATAGACCGGTACCAAATACCCGATCAACAACAACAACAACAACAACTGCCCAGAGACCATGTGTTAGAAGCAGTGACACAACAGTCAGTTGTTATTTGATCAATAACCAATAACCAACAGCAGTCGTTTGTCAAACACAGTCTCTCGCGCTAACGTTAGCCGCTGGACGTCTGTCCAGAACCGTTATCCCGAGCTTCAGATAGTCGGCGGGTTCTAGCCGTTCTAACCGCACACAACGCTGTCTCTACCGATAACTCAACGGGTTACACGGTATTTCGATAAAGTCTTAAAACCGCCCAGAACTCCTGCTACTTCCAACTCACCGACATAATGTACTACGACGCGTTGTCCCTTCTTAGGGAATGTCCGACCTGGAAACGAGACAGAAAAGAGAAGAGAAAGAATAAAAGACGAGTAAAAACAAAACAAAAACGTTAAGAACAGATGTAAATACAACTACAACGACAACTATGAAAGTCACTCTCACCGTCGCCTGGAGTTATTGTCTCGATCTCAACTCCCATTTTTGTTTTATCTCGACCACCCTAACGCTGACAACGGAAGCAGGAGGCAGGAGGCAGGAGGCAGGGGCGGCCTGCTGCTGCTGAGGAGCGAGGGGAGTCCATGGAGAACCGTGAGGTCGAAAGCGGAGGGAGGGAACGAGCGAAGGGGGGCCGGAGGGGGGGGCATAAAAATACTTACCTGAAACAATTTCTGTCCAGTTTTTCGGACGTCTTTGGACCTGCTGTATATGTGACCCTAACTGAACCGAACCAGATTTCTGAGCCCAAACCAAGTCCTAAAAAGAACTACACTCCATTGTAGTCATCGGTATGACTGCCAGGCAAGAGCAGCCATGTTGGCAAATGAACAAATCCAAATAATTAACTAATTAAGAAAAGTGATAACAGATGGTTTATTTCTTCAGTTTATTGGCAAAGGAACCAGGAATGTTCAAATATTTTGGAATGTCACAAGCAACAATGTTGTTGCTCACTGTTGGTTCCACATGTCGGACTCACACTGTTCCAAGAATAGTCATTCTGAGTGAAATAGTCACCAGAACCTGGCACGGTACCGATCATCCGCTCAGGATTTACAGCACAGATGGATGAAGTGTAGCAGTGAAATGTCGTTCTGTCTCTTCCAGTAAAGAAACCTAGTAATAACATGTGGTAAAACAGTCCTGAGTCACAGTCTCCTGACTTTTCCATCAGCGGCGACTACACCCACAGTCCAGTCGACCTCATGTCAGTCCTTCTAGAACCAGATCCTGGAACTCTGCGAGGTCGGTCTGGTCTGACCTTCCTGTCACTGTCCACTCTCTCCTCAGGACAGTGGGGGGGTGTTTTTGAGTCAACCCCTGGTCCACCTCCATCACGTCCACGTGGAGCTGCAGGTGACTTCACCGAGAGTCTGTTTCTGCCGTGGGAAGAATTCGACTTCGACTTTGACGTGGAGCTGGTGTTTCTCTGTGGAGATGACCTCACACCGGGAGGTAACCACTGCACCAGTGTTGACCTCTCAGTGCTTTCTGCTGGGTCTGATGGTGATGATGGTGATGATGATGTCACCTCAGGCCTAATAAAATAAATAATAAAAAGTAATTATGATTTTCAAATGAATGTTATGTCTTAAACTTAACCACAGTTTCATTTCCTTCCATCCATCCATCAATTCATTCATCCATCCATCATCCATCCATCCATCTAATGCGCCTACTTGACTGTGGTTGGTTGTTCTTGGCGCTGCCTCTCGTTGATTGGGTAGAAGTAAAAGAACAACATGGCTACCAGCAGCAGAGCAACAGGAACTCCTGAGAAGAGCACGATCAGAGTCGTCACAACTCCGTCGCCATGGCTACAGGCACCAGCTCTGTAGCCCACAAACCTGCGAGGGGGGACCAAGACTGTGACGGTTGACCATGAAAACACCAACAGGATGAAGATGAGATGAAGGTGAGTGAAGACCAACTGACTGCAGGACCATGGTGGAGAACCCAGCGGACAGGCCTCCAGCCAGTTTACTGCTGAAGGCATAACCGGAGAAGAACAACGGCTCCAGGTCTCTGAAGGACGGGTGTCTCTCGGCAAAGTCGTCCACCACATCTGGGAGCATTGACCTGTGGACGCGGGGACGAGTGAGTCCTTCAAGGTCAACTTCAAGGTCAGTCTGTGGGTGGAGGCCCAGACCCACTCACCATGGGAGCAGGCATGCCGTTGCGACACTGAATCCCATCACGACACAGACGATGATGAAGAGCGGGAGGTTAGTGGGGACGCAGGTGATGACGAGCACAGCTGGGATGTAGAGCTGACGGATGGACAGACGAGACGATGATTGAACGGCAACAAGAAAACCACTCAGAGATACTTCCTGTTACTCACGGAGATTCCGATCAGTGCTGTTCTCCTTTTTCCGACTCTCAGAAGAACGACCTGCCACACGGGAACCGACACCGACGCAGAGACCTGCGGGAGTTTGGAGAGCACTCAACTAAAACTCGCTTCAAACGTAGCTTTTGAAAAACAAGAACTGTGTGAACGTTTTACCAACAGAGCCAGGAGAAGGTACTGGAACTGAGCTCCCAGTCCGGCTGCGTGACTACAGAAAAGTGCGAAATTACTCCAGGACATCTGACATGAAACAGAAGACGATTTACAAAAATAGAAATATTATGATTAGAGATGTCCGATATTAGCATAATTATGTAATGGATCTGTTTTTCCTCCGATAATGAAAACCCGATAACGCAATGCTTGGATTTGCCAGATATGCTGGAATCACTTTAAAAATGTATTTTGTACAGACAATGCTAATTTGTAGAGTGCCTCTAGTGGGGCGTCACAATAAAAGCAGGTCATGTGTTAATTCCACTACACGAATATGTGACCTAAAAATAGTTTTGGGAAAAAAAGGAGCAGCATCTGTTGATATCGGAATCGCAAATTAAGTGTTTAGACAATCTCGGACATCGCTAACTATGACATTACACACACACATTACAAAGCTAAGTATTAGCCGCACCTGAAAGGCAAGAGCGGTGAACACGAAGCCCAGAACCAGCCGCTGGTAGGGAACGTGACAGACGATCATCTTCAGCGACGTCAGGTACGACGGCCGCTCGGTGTCACCAGAGGAGACCAGAGCTGACGAAAACGTAGTTTTATCGTTACTTAATATTTCTGAAGGCGTCGATAAGACGGCGATCCGTCGTTTCTGACTCACCGTTCTGCTCCTTCACTCCAAAGAAGAGAACCAGGCTGCAGAGGAAGAACAGAGAACCCACGACCAGACTGGAGCTCAGGAACGCCCTCCGCTGGTGGGTGGGAAACACACATATGGACAGGTTTGATGTGGTCTTTACATACGGTGTAATGGGAATGTTGGTCGAAAAGTTCTAAGACACAGATTATCATTTCAAAATTTTGTTCTAATTTAATTTCTCACGTCTTTGTAATATTAACCTTTGGTTGTTGTAGATTTAATGTTTAGGCAAAACTAAAGTTTGTTTCCATATGAAAAAAAATCTACAGATCAGGAGAGAAAGTTAAACATGAATAAATGCCGTCAATTTTTCAATAAATATTGAGTTTAGGCCCACAAAATGTCCCCATTGGCAAAAAAGTGTTCCCTCCACAGTATTTTTTTTAAAAGATGCAAATATAGTATGACAGGCACACACACACACACACACACACACACACACCAGATTACAGGGTAATACGATATCCCTGAGACCAGGAGAACACGAATCCCCGGCAACGCAGCGAACCACCTGATATCTGAGCTTTATCTCGACCGACATCTCTCTGATTTCAGAGTTGTTGTTATTTTGTTTTTGTTTGTTTTTTTACCGTTTCCTGCAGTGAAGCCACCTGTGGCGCGGCCGTGCTCTGAGCAGCGTGGTGGACCTGGTGCAGCTCCTCACAGGCCTCCTGCTTCTCTGTGTTGTACACGGACACAACGTGACCCTGGATGATGGAGGCCAGCAGCATGGCCACCATCTCTGCACACATCCCTGCACACGGAGGGAAAGAAAAAACCTGCTGAGCAGCTGTCGTTAGGATCCCCCTGGTGTTGACAATGGGAACTGAGATACTCACTGTAGGCTGTGGCTGAATCTCTGGCTCTCTGGTCTCCACCAAGAAACATACTGAGGGACAGGTACGGGACGTTGTAGCACTGTGGACACAGAGAAGAAGGGGAAACACGGGGATGTAGGTTAACAGCACACAGGACCTGCAGGGGGCACTGTAGTGCAGGAGAAAAATATATTTAAAAAAAGACAAAAATAAGAACCAGAGGTCTGGTTATCATTAAACTGTGGTTATAATAAATCTGACTTCATCTGGAAGAAGATTTAGCAGTGAAAAAAAAATTAAAATAAAACATTTGGACACAGGAATGAAAGGATCTTAAATAATTGTAATTAATTTCGATTAATGTATTATGCAAGTACATTAACTTATATTATAGAATATAACTATAGAACTATATAATATATGTTATATTATATAGTGGCCAATTTAAAGTACAGAAAATAATTCTAGCCAATTCAGGAATTCCTTCTACACCAAACGTTTTGATTAACAGATGAAACTGCGGTTCAACACTGACTGACACTCATCAGGGTTTCAAACAGGCAGGTCGTGGACAGGAACCACAGGACCCTGAGCGGCCGCGACATGAGGCCCGGTGGATGGAACCACAGCAGCAGGTAGGACATGACACCCAGAGGAGTGGACAGAACCAGCCTGTGGGGGGGCGAGGAGGAGGAGAAGGGCAGGAGAGGGGGGGCATTAAAGAAAGAGCCTCTGTGACACAAAGCTTCGAGATAAAAACGATGATTTCATTGGGTAGGACCAACAACCAACCACGGAGTGAGTTTGCCGACGGCCGTCTGTTTGCTGCGGCTCACCAGATATCCAATCAGAGGGTCGGTTACTGCGTCCCAGGCCCGACTCACAAACAGGATCATGGAAACGTAGGACGCATTCATCTGTGGGTCAAAGGTCAAACCAACACTTCCTGTTATTAGTCAGTCTGGTCTGAGAAAAAATCAAAGTGAAATAAAATGGGCATCGCTGCATCAAAAGAAAAATTCTTCGTACTTTTAGAGAATTTTTTTTTAGGAAAAATATATTTTTTTATTTGATTTCACCTGAACAACGTCCAGGAGGAAAATCTGCAGCGAAACTCCAATAGCGACGGCGGTCATCTGACACGGAACGCCACCCACAGCGTAGCATATCTTCCTGTACAGAGGGATCTCTGCTGCCCCCTGTGACGAACAAGGGAAACAGCAGGTCATGTTTAGGAACTAAAAGGAGAAATTTGACAGAATTAAAATATTTTTTCTGAATTCAACAAGAAACAACTGAGAAAACAAAACTTTTCAATTTCTATCTTTTTCCTAATTTCTCACTGGGATCAACAAAGTATTTCTTCTGATCTCACAGTAGAAATACATTCAAACGAACACCTACTCGTTCAGATCAACAAAGTATTTCTTCTGATCTCATACTAGAAATACATTCAAACAAACACTCCCATCATCTTACCTTGTGATGATGATCCGACTTCCCGTCCTCGCTCCTTTTCAGCATCGTATTCCTCACCGTCTGGAAATTACTTTTTAATTCTGTCCAAAAACCCATTCTTGAGAATTAGGTAAAAACAGTTAGACAGCTACAGTCAGACACCGACAACAGCCGACAACAGCCGACAACAACGGTCTGTTGGAGTTTAATCCCCTGGTCTGCACCGACAATACTGTACAATCTGGTCCAACAACATTCTATTGTATGTTCCCCCCACCAATCAGATCGTCTCCTCAGCCTCTGATCTGCACCTCCACAGGACACCGACAACAGCATATGTATATATACAGTATATGTATATATACATATATATATATAAACATACTGTATATGCAGGAAAAAATTTAGATTTCTAAAAAAAGAATCCTAATCCTAATTCTAATCCTAACTCCACACCCAACCCTGGACCAATCCTAATTCTAATCCTAACTCCACACTCAACCCTGGACCTCAGAATCCCCCCTCCCTCAGTGGAGACATGTCCACACCTGGACAAAATGTCCCCAAAATAAAAATAAAAAAAATACTTTTTGTGTTTCGTGAGCTCTTCACATTAACATAGCTCAACACCTCCCCTAGTGGTCACTACCCTTGTATACCAGATGATTCTCGACCAAATCAGTTTGGATTCAGACTTTAAACTGAATTAAAGTTCAGTGGACATCGACCTCCCCTCCCTCCCCCGTCGGCTTCTCCCTCCACTGTGAGCTGTGGGATTCATTTGAAAAATGCCTTGTGGGTATTTAAATACTTGACTGGTTTTGCCCCACCCTGCAGTACCTCGGAGTTACTTCAGCTCGTAGTTCTTCCTGCTCCCAAATGTCAGCTCCACTCAGTCAATACATACACACATATATGCAAACATATGTGGATTCACTACTTTGTTTAAAAAAAAATACATTTCAAGCGTCTAAACAAAGGCAACTTTGTAGTTTTGAAAATGTTCAGTACTCTCAGGTGTACTACAGTATTTACTAAAAGTACTGAAGGAAGCTGTTCAGATTTTTTTATTTTCAAAAAGTTGCTGAAATCTAAGTGATTTTTAAAAAGAAAAAAAAAGGAGTTCCTGACCTGACAGTATCTGTCAGTCATTAACAGGTCGGTGTGTACTGTGTACTGTGTACTGACAGTGCAATGTGTACTGTGTACTGTGTACTGCCGTCCAATGGAAACACCAGCTGAGTGGATATATGAGACGTAAATGTTTGTGTTTGGAAAAACAGCAACACACGGTGGTCAACTCATAAAAAAACCTCACAGGAAGACAACGAAACACAGCGCCCCCTGGGGTCAGGAGCCACAGGTTGAAGACCACTGTCCTAGTCCTCAGTTATTATAACTAATAATAAACGGGTTGGTTTACCAGGACCACACACACATTCTTGTTTTATGCTCTCATCTGTTGATCTTTAATGTTCAATCAAACGTCAAACGGTTGAAAAGGTGCAAAAAACAAAGATCACGACGTCGTCAACAGACTGAACAAAAACATCGTCAAAAGTCGTCAACAGACTGAACAAAAACATCGGCAAAAAAAAAACTAAAACAAACCAAAACAATGAGCTTTTATAAAATAAAAATACAAACTAATTTTTATCAATAATTCAGTTTTTTTCTTCTGTGCAAAAAAACATTTTTTGGAACTTTTTTTTTTGGTTTTTTTTTTCTACAGTTTCACCTGCGCTCAGACGATGGCGCTCTTGTTGCCCCCGTCCCTGCTCTGCCCCAGTCCGTACAGCCACTTGATGACTCTGGCGTTCCTCTCGATGACCGACACGCCGTAGGGTACGCGAGCAGCCGCGGGGACGTCCTCGTCCTCGTCCTCCTCGTTGTCCTGTCGCCCGGACGCCACGCACTCAGACCCGGGGGCGCTCACGCTGCGGAAGCGAGCCATGGAGACGATGTCGGAGTGAGACTCGGTCAGGTCCTGCAGGTCGACGGGGTCCAGACCGCACAGGTTGAAGAAGCGCTCCAGCTCGGTGCCGGCTCTGGAGCATCTGTCGCTCATGTCTGATTTGGAGCGGGTCAGAGACGGGCGTTTCCTGGAGCTGGAGGAGGACAAACGGGTAACGGCTGGAGACGGAGGGGGGAAACCGGGCGGGCGGGGGGGGGGGGTTGGGGAAGGGGAGGACGCAGGGTTGTCGGGTTTGGCCGGACCGACCACAGGCTTCAGCGGGGAGGGGCCGGGCGACGTCCTGGGATAGAAGAGACGAAGGTGAGATACGGCCGGGCGGAGCAGGAACTGGGAGTGTAAAGGGATGGGCTGCAGCGGCTGCCGCATGAACTGGGCCGGTCGGGTGGGGGTCCGGGCGGAGCTGGGCTGGGGCTTGACGTCCACCCTGCGCACCGTCCCCGCAGCTGGAGGTCCTGGAGAAGCAGAACCCTCCGCCGCGTCGGGGCCCGAGGCCTTTAACCGGACCTTAGCGAAACTGGACCAGTCGGTCGGCCGGTCCGGTTTGGGCCGAGTCTGTGACGGGGGTCCGCGTGTCGGCGTGGAACAGTTCTGCTCGTCACTGTCCACCGAGCTGACGGTGGGGCTGGACACGGGTTCGCTGCTGACATCACTGATCAGGCTGGTCAGGTGGTCCAGGTCCAGCTGGAGGCTCTCCTGCCGAGGTTTGGTCTGGGCCGGGGTTTTCCTGGTGGGCCTCAGGACAGTGCTGGCGATCTGGGGGGGCTTCCTGGTCTCCGGGGGCTTCAGCGGCGGCTGCTTGGCCAACGCCACCTGACTCTTGACGTACTTGGCCTTGTCCGCCTCCAGCCGCTCCACGGCGCTCTGCCTCGGCCTGGTCTCCGCCGCTGGACTCTGTCGGTAGAAGTCCGGACCCACGGGCCCTTTGGGTCTCAAGCGTGGGGGCGTGGCCGCTACAGCAGTCCTTGTCGGCTGCCTTAGTGGGCGCTGTAGAGCTTCCACAGGCATTTGAGAAAACTTACTCTGTTTCTCCGTCCTCGTCGTCTTCGTCTTCTTCTACTGCAGAAACGTCTGAGTTCGTCCTCACCTCAGCTGAACTTTAGCTTCCGGACATTTCTGTTTCCCAAACTTCCTGCAACATCAGGAGAGAAGAAGAAAAAAAGACGTCAAACAGGGACTACAAACTTTTTTGTTTCTTTAACATCCAGTGTTCCAGCCCCGGACCACAGATGTCACCCTCCCCCATCTCCCCCCTCACTCCCCCCGTCCCTGCAGCCAATCACTAGGGTGGAACACTCGTCATCTCACAAGTTCATTGGCTGCTGGGACAACAACTCAGAGCCGTCAATCAAACCTCAGACAGACAAACAATAAAGGTGACAATTTAGGCTGAGTCAGTGGAAGTCACACTGAGGAGGGAGGAGAGGGGGCAGGGGTGAGACAGGGGTATCTTTAGAGCTGTCACCCAGCAGTATTGTACACACACACACACACACACAGTAACAGCTGCTGGGAACAATGAGTCCACGTCTCTAAATACAGCCGTCCGTTGTCACGGTCTGCAGACAACTTCCGGTTGAACGACTAGTTAAAAAACAACGACCCGCTCCTCTCTCTCTCTCTCTCTCCACGTCATCAGCCTGGAGACACACACACACACAGGTCACACGTTTCCACCTCAACCGCTGAGCAAACCTGGGTTTTCAACTCACACACACACACATACACGTCTGCTGCCTCGAACATTCCCCACATATTTGTCATTCCTCTGAGGACTGAGCCGAGAGACACAGGTCTCCAGTCTCACCTGGTCCCAGTCTCCAGTCTCACCTGGTCCAGGTCTCCACCAGCGAACCACACGGTGAAGTACCGTCAGTAACAGCACAGACGAGCAGCACTGACACCGCTGTGTAACAAAAGCCGAGTGGAATGTCGGGAGGAGGGTGAGACAAACACCAACACGGCCTCCGAGTGAGTGTCTCTGAGTTAGGAGTTAAAATGTTTGAGTCACTGAGTCACAGCAGTGAAGTCGGGCAGGTAAACAACAGGAGACGTGTCTGTAATGGAGGTCTGTGTCGAGGCAGGTCCTGACAGGCTCCCGGCTGCTGTTGTCAAGGTGTGGGTCGGTAGACGAGGGGTAGAAGAGAGGGGGAGGAGGAGAAGTTTCCCTTTCGACGTTTCTTTACTTTCTAGAACATTCTAGAAGAAATAATAAAACAAAAACCCTCACCTTCAGCTGAGTTCCTCCAGACTCTTCTTCTTCTTCTTCTTCTTCTTCTTCGTCGCAGGTGCCGGGTCAGTCAACCGTCACTGAGGCAGAAGTGAAACAAAAGTGTTTGAAGGACTAACCTGTCTGACAGCTCACGTGTCCCGCCCCTGCTCTCCCATTGGTCCGTTCAATTCTCCACAAGAAAGTACGGTAAACTCGGCGACCACGTGACCCCGGACACGACCGATACTGAGTTTCGGTTTGTTTTGATACGTAAGAAAAAAAAAAACCCGTTTAAAGGAGCAGCAGCAGCAAGGAGTTTATTTAAGAAATAAATCCAGAAAAACCACCCTGTTACTTTAAAGGACACACATCGAGCGTATCAGCAGAAACTGTAGACAAATACTGCACTGAGAGACATGGACCTCCAGGGGGTGCCAAAATGTGGAGCAATATTATATATTATATATTTAATATTTATTATTTATAAAGTATTATTTTATACATTCATTCAACTACATAACTAATGTTTCTAAATCTCCAACCCGCCTCCACTCCAGCTGATAAGTATGTACCTGTCCTCTAGGGGGCAGTGGGAGGTCCAGTCACCTGAGAAAAAAAAAAAAAACTGTCTCTTTTCCAGTATCGTTTTTGCCTCTTTTTCCCAGTATGATGTCGTTTTTGCAGTTACTGCAGTTGATGAAGTTACTGCATTAATATTACCGTGTTCTAATTTGAATTTAATTAAATTCTTTCAGGAAAAACTGATGTAAAAAAATAATTCCATGAAAATCCAAAGTTTTATATAAATAATTATTCTCATGCTTTCTCTATTTTACTGCAGTATAATACTCCATAATTCTTTCAGGAAAAACTGATGTAAAAACTTTAAATAATTATTGTCATGCTTCCTATTTTACTGCAGTATAATAGTCATGAAGAGAAACTGACCAATGACACATTTTTCTTCATTTTTCAAAGTGTCTCTTTATGCAAAATACAATAAAAAACACACATTGAACAACAACATTTAACAACAAAATTTAATGTCATCTTGACGTCGTCTCCACTCCGAGCGTCTGCGTTTGTCTCCTTCGTCCCGACCCGACATATTGACGTCGTCTCCACTCCGAGCGTCTGTGTCCACACAGACCAGAAGAACCCACACCAAGAACTGCATATAAAACTACGTCATCTTCAAGTCGGACGTGATTCGTGTGTCGATATTTTTTTTATTATTATTATTTACAATTCAATAAACACATTTACACTAACGTCTGACTGTTGATCGTAGTATTTCACCGTCCTGATGCAGTATTTAAAACTCATCAGCAACTGTTTGGCCGTGCACTGTAGTACTGTGAAGTACTGTAAAGTACTACAGTCAAATGAATTGCACATAATAAGGAAACATCAGAGGTAAAAAAAAGAACCTAGAACTAATACTCTGTGATGGAGGAACACGTCGTCAGCTGCTGATGACTCTGAAGGTTTGCATATTTAAATGATAACAAGAAAATCCGCTCCACCTGCGTCACTACGTCACATGTTTCATCCATGATTTTTTAAGCAACAATCACCAAAACAAGCTTTGACACAAAGACACGTTTCTGGAAAAAAAACAAAAGTGACAACTGTGGTTCTCAAAATGTGGTACATGTACTTCAGCCCGGGCCCTGAGAAGAAGGACTGGGCATTGAATTGGAGGTTTGCCGGTTCGAATCCCATCCTGCCTGCGATGTATGACCAAGCACCAAACGTAATATGGGTTAAAATTAGTTGTGTACAATGTATGTGTGTGTACAATGACTCCTACAGGTGGTGTTTTGACGCCCTCTGGTGGCTACCGCAGCATCTTGCTTTCTATTCGGAGAAGATGTGTTTGTTCATTACTGCTTTAAATACTCCGACCTCCTCTGTGCGGTGGTTCACACTCAGCAGAGGTTTAAGAGGCTTGCTGCCCCCTGTTGGTCATTAGGAAATGGCACAGTTCTTGTCTTTGTCCTTTGCACTCAGACTCTGAGCTCTTCTCCGGCGTATGCTGCCCCTCAGTCCCTGCTCCCGCTGCACCTCCTTCTCCTGCTCTCCTTCTCTGTCTTTCACCTCCTCAGGCGACTGTTTTCGTAGCTGGGGGGGCAGAGGGATGGGCTTCCCCAGGAAGTAGCCTTCCTCCTCTGAATCAGAGGAAGACGAGCAGGTGGAACAACAGTCGTCGTGTTTGTGACGGCCCGGCTGAAGACTCAGAGACGAAGTTCTGGAGGAGCCGCGGCCGTCTCTGTCTTTCTCCCCTCTCCAGTCGAGGGTGTCCAGCTGGGGGCGATCTGGTCGGCCGAGTCGAGATCTCCATTCTGCTCCAGGGTGGAGGGCGGGGTCAGGATGGGCACGGGAGCGACTCCACCCTCGCCTCGGACTGCGCTGACGGTAGGAGGATCCATCTGGGCGAGAGACGACAGAGACAGAATGACTTTGACTTTTTGGTAAATAATAATAATAATAAGATATTTTCTAATTCCACCTGGTAATATTTTGGACAATATTCTGCAAATTTCTGATTTACTGTGTATTATATTGGAAAATACTTTTCCCAGTATAGTACTTTTACACTTACACAAAAATATCTAATCTTAGATAATACTTCTTGTAATATTCTGTTCAAACATTTTTGAAAATATTTGTTTCAAAAATCTGTTTTTACACTGGTATATTTTGGTATATTTTTTTTAATCCTGTGATTTTATATTAAAATATTCTGAATAATAGTTTTGGCAAAATTTAGTTTTTATTTTGAGCATTTTTTACAATATTTATTTCATTCATAAATGAATTATTCAATTAATTATTTGTTATTTCGCTGGTATTTTAATAAATAAAAATAAAAAATTAAATGTGATTTTGTGATTATATTGTTAAATACTTTTGACAATATTTATTTAAAAAACTTTTATTTAATCTAATGCATGATTTTAGTCAATGTTTGTTTTGTTTGTTTTTTAAAATATTTTTGCCACATTCTGACTAATAATTAATATCATATATGTATTAATTATACATGTGATGTCATGCACTGAAGTTAAAGCCGTAGTCGTGATGATGTCATTCTTTTTTCCTCACCCAGCAGATCCATCTGTACTGGAAGTCCCTTCTGCAGCTGTAACCTGCTCCCAAAACCTCCCACCATCTCCTCTTCCACCTCCTGGTTCTCCTCAGCCTCCTCCTCCTCCTCCTCGTCCTCTCCCTCGTCCTCGTCCACGGAGTAGCTGCTGCTGATTGGTTCTCTGAAGCTCACTCTGGCCGTGCTGGAGCGGGTCAGTAGCGGTGGAGAGTCCGAGGGTCCGCCCTCTGGTGGCCGGAGGTTGGGCGGCGGGGACGACCTCAGTATGGAGTCTCGAGTCTTGACGGGCAGAGGAGGTGGAAGGGTGGGTGGGGGGTGGAGGGGTGAGTCGGGGGAGACATGGTGGTTCACCTGTGGCTCTGTCTGAGGAGGGAAGGCTGTACGAAAAAAAAGGTAAAAAATGTTTAAAATAAAAGGCACGTTTTTCTGTACATGAAAAGTTATCGTCCTCTCTTTTAAATTAATTATTATGATTGTTGTGTAGTTTTTTTTGGTCAGTTAAATTAAAAAGAATTCCAGATTAATAAGATTAAAGACTAATTATTTTTCACATATAAAGTAAACAGTAGACTATGAATCAAAAAGTCATTTCTATATATTTAATTCTGTCTCCTTCCTGTTTTTTTTTTTCATTCCTAATATTTTGTTACATCTGTTCTTAATTCTGTCTCCTTCCTGTTTTTTTTAATTCCTAATATTTCATCTTTAAATGTATCAGTTATTCTTCGTCAGACGTCCTCAGAGTCAGAACATCAGTGTTGAAGGAAAACCTGTTTCTTTACAGGAGACAATAAACTCTTTGGATCCTGAATCTCATACCTTGCAGAACCTGATTGGTCTGTTCCACCCAGTTCCTGCAGTCTTTGGTCGTCAGGGTTCCTCTGCCGTTCTCCTTCTGCTCCCCGTTCAGCTGCAGACCGCCGACCGCCGAGGCTCTGCCGGCCGTGTTCCCGGCCAGGAGACTGTAGTAGGGAAGGTCGTTAGGCCAGGACGGACCACGCCCGTTTCCTAGATGAATGTGGGGCAGGGGTGAGTAGGAGCCCCTCGGGTGAGGATGACCACCGGGGGCAGGACCGCCATTTTGGACTGGAGCAGTGCAGTGGACACCTGGGAGACAGGGCATTTTAAATTTTTTATAAATAAAACAAACACTGGGGACATCAGTGAAAATGTTCTGTTTTTTTGTATTTCGTTTTTTTTTTTTAATAAAATGTCATAATGTATAAAAAAAATTCAAATTCAAACAAAGTTATACAACAGCAACATCAATGTTTACTTTGAATTCTGTCATTGTTTCAACATTCACCTCTACTCTCCACTGCCGTGTGAATGCAGTCTTTTGCGGAGATGCTGACGCCCTCTGGTGGCTTCAGTGGGGACCCGCACTGTGGCTGCTGCTGCTGTTTCCTCTGCTCAGCTGGTCTGCTCTGCAGCGCCGAGTCGCAGGAGTCGGAGTTGTTGGGGTCCTCACCCAGGGAGCAGGGTCTGGAGCAGAAGATGAGGCCGGACCGGGGCAGGAAGGGTCGCCCCAGCAGGGGCAGCTGACAGCGGGCGCAGCAGAAGCAGGCCTCCACCGCGTGCCAGTGCTGACCCTCGTACGTCATCTGGCCCTGGTCGATACCTGACAGGAAATGATGTCAGAAGATAAGTCGTATACGTTGGTGAACAGAATCAATGTTACAGTCACTGATTCTTTTTGGCAGAGGAGAAGACGATGAAAAGAACACCTGAACTCAGTACCTATGTGTCCTCTGCAGGTATCGCAGTACTCTGCGTACAGGGACTCGTAGCAGGAGCAGCAGTACGGCCGACTCTCCCTCATGATGTAACGCTGCCCCCCCAGGGCAGCCTCACACTCGAAACAACAGAAGTGCTTCATGTGCCAGTATCGTCCTTCTGCTTCAGTGCATTCATCGGCCAGAATGATCTACGGTCGGGAGTTAAACAGGAGTAAAACAGGAGTAAAGATTAAAACTGACAGCCTAAATACAGTTAAACAGGAGTAAAACAGGAGTAAAACAGGAGTGAACCAGGAGTAAAGATTAAAACTGACCTAACCTAAATATATACAAACTAACATACATATATGTATACGTATATACACATATATTTACATATACATATATACACATATATAAATACATATATAATATGCTATACATATATATTTACATATACACATAAATACACACACATATATGTCTATCATATTAATCTTAGTCTTAAGTGAGGTTTCACACAGTGTTAAATGAGTATCTCTGGCGTCACAGGCCTGGCAGCGAGGCTTCAGCCTCTCGGCGTGGTGCCGTCCACAGTAGATCTGTCCGTCCTGGTAGAAGTAGATGAGGTCCACCAGCAGCTCGGTGCAGGAGGCGCACTGGAAACACTGGGGGTGCCAACAGCTGCCGTGCCCCGCCCGACTGGCGAACACCGCTATGTCCCCGCCACAGATCTGTCTGCCACACTGGAAAAGAAAACATGTTTTTAGGGAGTGGGTGAGGCTCAGGGGGGAGAGGGGGGAGGAAATGGAGTTCTGTATGATATATTATTGGAGCCAAACATTAGCTCAAATGATATAATAAAATATAAATTCCACATTTGCAGCCTCTTGCCCCACCTGCTGGCATATCGCCCCCATCATTGTCACAGGAAAGAGCCTGACGATGCCGCGCCCCAGATTTTCTTTTTTCCTCTGCTGACTGAAGAGACGCAGCTCCTTCTTCTCCTCCTCGTCCAGGGAGCTGCAGTACTGAGGCTGTGGGAACACATGGAGCTCCGTCAGTGAACCACCGATCACTGATCACTGATCAATGGTGATGACCAGGTTGATTGACAGCAGTGATCCATCTTACCTCACTGTCGTGGGCCGGCAGCTGGTGCAGCAGCTGTTTGATGCGGTATCTCTCCCCTGGACTGTTCACGTAAGGGACTCTGTCCTCTGGTAAACAGCTGAAATACTGGTACACCTGAGGAGACCAGGTGTAGACCAGATCATGGTTAGAACCTCCATTACAGGGTTAGCATGTGGCCTATAATACAGCCCAGTGTTAGGTCCTATATACCATTGTTTCCCAAAGACTGGGTCGCAAGATTTTTTGAGGGGGTCATTTCGCATCATGTTGCCCAGGAGTTTACAAATAATGTCTAGTGACTTGGGTTGCCAGAAAAAAAGTTTGGGAAACACTGCTATATACAGCCCAGCATTAGACCTGTTACATGGCCCAGTATTGGGCCTGTTTTTCAGCCTAGTCTTGAGTCTATAATACAGCCCAGTATTAGGCCTTATATCCAGCCCATTAATATGTCTGATATGAAGCCCAGTATTAGGTCATGATAGAATGAAACACTTTCTCTAGTGTTTTGACACCAGATATCCTTCCTAATGCACCCCCCACCCGCAGCCCAGTATTAGGTCATGATAGAATGAAACACTTTCTCTAGTGTTTTGACACCAGATATCCTTCCTAATGCACCCCCCACCCCCCTTCAGCACTGCAGGACTAAAAACCACAGCGTCTGTGGTGTTCCCCTGGTCTGTGGGCGTCACCGACCTCTGACGTCTGTTCTCTGCGGTTACCTGTTCAGGCTTGAGTCCAGGTGGGACCCAGGCGTACTCCTCGGAGGCACAGCCCGAGTCATCGTCAGAGATGGAGTGTCGGTGGAAGTCTGAGACCAGCTTCGTCATCATCTTCTCCAGCTGCCCCGGCACGGAGCGCACGGCGTGCTCCTCACGCACACACTTGCAGTGCACACAGATCTTCCTGTGGAGACAGTCACAGAGCGCAGGTTTCACTCCTGCCTGCGGGGGGCGACTCTCTCAGTTTTCATTATTGATTTACAACATTTGAACTAATCAGGTGTCAGATCTGTCCTGCAGGGGGGGGTCTCGTCTTCTAACTTCAGGTTATCAGGTGTGAGGTTTAAATTAAAACTCATGCCAACGTGTACTGCATTACCAGAAAAAAAAAACCTCTTGTGAAAGATTTGGGGTTTTTTTCTTTCTTCATTTATGAAGACTTCCTCAGGCTTCAACAACAGCAATATATAAAAAAATATATATACTCCATGTGCCAAGAACAGTACTCCCTGCTCCTTTAACTTCATTAATAACAGACTGTTGATTCACACTGTGATTTATCACCTGCAAAAACAAGACGTTACTGGTCCAGCATCTGGTCAGTAAACATATAGGCTAGTAAACATGTATATATGTACACATATATACACATACATATATGTATGTGTATATATGTATATACTGTAAATATATATATATATATATATACACACATGTACATATATATGTATATATATATATGTCAATGCTAATCGTATCAATCTTAATCCTATGTCAGGTCTGAGGTTCAATACCCAACACAACAACAATGCAGTCAACTAATCCTCACGCCACACTCGCGCGGCCGCTCCCAAACGTCTGTCGCCATATTATTTACGATCACACTTTGTCACAAACAGGCCCACGCACATTCTTGTGGTTGACTCAACGACAGCATTACCAATACCACGAAAAAGGGAAAAACAACAAACAACTCCACGGCCAATTATAACCAACCTCGGTGAATTAATGATTTTATATCAGACCAACATCACAGCTGCAGAACCTCAGACACACAGGAAGTGATGTCACTAATGATCAGTCAGTCAAGCTGAGGTAATTTTCTTCCTTAATTCAATGACTGAGACACAGTATTCGTCTGTGGGATGTACTGCGTGTGTGTACATCTGATGTGTACTTGTTACGTAACCGTCTGCCAGCTGCAACTTGTGGCTGGAGTTCACACAGAGCTGCTCCATTACAGCGCCCCCTCCCCCACACACCGAGCGCTCGTCCTCTGATCCACCGTCTCACACAAAGGTTGGTGACGCACGGGAACAACTGCATGTCAGCACAAATCTGCCCCGTCCTCCCGACCCCCGCGTCAAACCACCCCAGGCCGCGTCAAACCACCCCCGGTCATGAAGAAGAAGAGGAGAAAGAGAAAAAGAAGGAGGAGAAGGAGAAGAGGAAGAAGAAGAAGGAGAAGAAGAAGAAGAAGATGAAGAAGAAGAAGATGAAGAAAAAGAAGAAGACGTGTTTTTCTGACCGGCTTAATTAAATTTGGGTGGAATGAAGAACTACAAAAAAAAAAGTTGGCACAGAGTCTGGTTTACCACAAGGTAAAATCCACATCAGTGCCCCCATGTGGCAACAATCCCTGCATTGTTTCTGAATTCCACTGAGGCTATAAATATCCTCAGTGAACAAAGGAAATAAGATCAAATACAAATCAAAGACATTTTCTCAAGTACAGGTAATATTGAAATTTCAATTCATTTGCTTCAATGCGGACCCTAATGGAACAGTTCTTCGGCCTCGTGGGGGGTGCCGCCCCCCATTTTGAGAAACCAAAGCTCTAGTTGTTGTGCCAGGAATATTGTGTGACGCTCACCCATAAGATCTGAGCAGCAACACTTTGGTCTGAAGAATTAAAATAGGCTGAAACAGTGAAACATCTGGGAAAAAATCTTAAAAAACAGCTGAAAACAGCCTCATAAATTAAACAGAATACAATAAAAGATAAGATATTTTTTATAAATATTGTTAAATACATTCTATGCAAGGTTGGGCACTAACTTCCTAATAGCGCCCTCTGTAGTTTAATGGTGTGCGTGGTGAGTCAGGTGGCCATTATTACACAATTCTAAACTCTACCAGCAGGGGGTGGGAGGACACAGCCGGAGCCTGACACGGTGGGACAGATGGAGGACACTTGTGTCCACCACCAACACAATCCTGACCAACACTCGCCCCCGCAACAAACTGTTAGCAGCTACGACTGAACGACCTCATCGTACAGAACAGATACACCGGAGTACTACTGCATACACGTAGTACTACTGCATACACGTAGTACTACTGCATACACGTAGTACTACTACGTATCCACTCAAACAACACACCCTCGTGTTGGTGCAAAACAATCATTCACATTTAGGAGAAATTAAAGGCTAACGTTTACCCTGATCCTGACGCAAAACTTCACACAGAAAGACAGAGAATTGAACCAGCAAACTGTTGATTCTCTGGTTGTAAGGCAAAGGTATAAACCACTGCACCCCCCAGTGTCATCCAGACTATGACATATTAACATCTGTGGAAATAGTTTTTTTTACTTTTATCCCTAACAAACGAACCATTAATTAAAACAAAGATCATGAAATAAAAAATATTTTGATTATTTAATATTTCTAGTAACAAAGTGCAAATTACAAACGAAGCATTAATTAAAACAAAGATCATGAAATAAAAAAATATAATATTTGGAATATTTAATATTTCCAGTAACAAAGTGCAAATTAACTTCAATCAAATAAATTAAAATGTAAATTTAAGGAACGTCTTTCAACAAAAACACACCAAAAGAGTTACAAAAGTTACTTCTACAAGTATAATACTTCTAGTACTAGTAAAGTACTTACTCATAGTACTACCTACAGATCGATGTACACGTCCAGATACGCTGCAGCACGGCTGACAGACTGTGGTTGAACTCCGACCACTAACCCTCTCTGTTGTTAACTAACCCGCCGACTAACGACTGTTGGACCATGACAGACCAGGGTCACGTCAGAGGAGCTGCCGCTGCCGCTGCCGCCCCTCACTGCTGCCCATGTGGTAACTACCCTGTCTGCACTGATCTTTTAATGTCTCCACCCTCCCACCCCCTCCCCTGCCATTAGGCTCTAACAAAAGGACTAAACACACACACACACACACACACATTCAAATCCCTTCTTTAAATCATTGCAGTAACAAGATTTTTTTTTTCAGCTCCAAAACGTTCTGCCTTTGTTTTACAGACATCAGTGTCGGGGGTAAGAATCCTGACCAGTAACCACGACGCCGCCTCATCACTGATTCACAACAGATGGACAATTGTTGCTTTGACGCAGTTCTTCTTCCAAACGGAGCTGATTCTGAGCGACGCTGTGCTGCATCTGTCGGAGACGAAAAAAAACTAAAACTGTCTGTGGAGAAACGTCACGAACGCAGCACGGACTGCGGCCCCGCTGAGGACACTTCTGTGTTCTGAACCTGTTCCAGCTCCTCCTCCTCCACGACTTCTAGTCTTTTTAAATCGTTTGAACGTCTGTCAACAACACGGCCTGGATCAAAAGGCCGTAAAACAGAACTGAAAGTGATTATCAGTTCTGAAATGATCATTTATTCGCTGCAAAGACTTAAGGTTTGACTCTTGCAGACATTTGGAGGAGACACTGCAGACTCTTCTACGACAACTGAGAGACTGGGGGAATCGAACACTGAACAACTGTGCCTGACGGGGACGATCACAGAGGTTTGGCGTAACCATCTGAAGCTGATGAAGCCACCAAACTCTCCCACAAACTACTGTGGCGTTCCTCAGAGAAATGTGGCGTGCCAGAGTTGGCCCCACGGTAAAAAGTAAATCGTTTCCGACCTCTTTGTTTGACGACGACGATGAAGATGATGAAGGTGAACAGATTGGTCTGAAAAAATAAAATGAAACTAGTTTAATTTGACTATGATTATTGTTGAATGAAGCCTGTTCCTCATTAGCCCCAGTTATGGTTGTTATGTAATACTTCCACTGGGGGCACTGCTGAGTTTATTTCGACGTCAGTTTCTCAGACAATGACAAAAGGTGGCGATAGTGTTCCTGCTCAGTGTGAGGTCCAGGGGGTCCGGGGGGGGGGACACTAAAGACAGAGCAGCATGTGGACGGAGAATTATTCTGTCCCTTTATGGACAAACATGAGCCATACGGCACAACAACACCCCCTAGATTCTCCAGTGGTACTGCACTTTTTCCAGAACAAACCTTTATGAAAACCACCAAGTTAGACATGTAGCCACGCAGACGACCGACCTACTTGGCCTGAAGCATCAACAAGGCGTTACACACATGCAGATCTGGCATCTTCGCCCCTGACACACCAACGGATTCCTCTGGCAGCTGAAAACAAACCTCCTCAGCCAGCGCTGCCTGGTTGGGAATTGTGGGTAAATTCTAGGGAAAAGTCCCTCAGTTACTTGTCCGACATGTCCAGTCCAACAGTAGATTTAATTTTTTTAATTTAAATTCCTCAGTGCCCTCTAACAGACATCTGCCCCACAGTTTGGGCATCGCTGCAGTGCAGAGACCAACAAAGTAGCTCTTGTCTGAATATGAGCTGAATCCCAACTTCACTGTAGTCTAGTGACCCCCGCCCAGTCTTCAGACCCCTCCTCTACTCATCAGAGACTCAGTAATGACCACGAGGGCGGTCTGTCAGACAGAAAACGCGACTTTAAACACTTTTAAAGCCAGGCGGGGGACCTGTGGGTCAAACGTAACTTAATTCCCCCAGTGCTGGGCAGGGGAAGCACCATCTGCCCCCCCTCCCCCCCCCACACCCCCTGTTCAAGCTCAGGATGAAGATGGATCACTTCCTCCTCGGTGAGCGTCGGCAGCTGAGCCTGCGGTCACTGGTCACCGAGCTTCCTCGTCAGGGAAGGTGCGACCGTGAGGCCGTGATTAAGGCGGATTGAATTATCATCAGACTGATGAGATCAGGCAGCTGACCCTCACATAAATCCATCATCTCATTATCTAAAAAAAAAACATCCAAACAAGAGCAGATCTTTCTTCTCCTCTGACGCTCAGAGTGAAACCAGTCCAGGAGACTCAGCAGAGACCTGGTACCAGACTGGATCCAGAACTGGAGGCTGAGACTGGAGTCAGAGCGGAGCGGAGCGCACATGTTTTAGATTACATTCTAACTTCTTTTGTCTTGCCCTGAATAGAAAAGATACAATTACAGTTTTTGGTTACAAGAACTACACATTCTTCTACCTGTTTTTTTTTTTTTTTTACTCGCTCCAGCACTAGACCAGTTTTAGCTGCACAAAGAACAAAACAACAACTGTGTACAAATATATAAATATACCCACATTTAGCTGTGTGTCAATAACACTGACTGCACCTTTAATGACCCACATGCTGTGACTGGAACCATTGGAACCGTGTTGTGGTTTGTGGAATGGTTTTAATTAGTTAATGAAAAAAAATCTGTCATCTACCAGAAGACAGTGACGCAGAGGTGCACTGTGGGAGATTTGGGCCGCATTCCATTTCTAATGTCGGCCACTATTATCACTATGGTAACAAGACGGTAGAAATCTAACCATAACAACAGACGTGCTCAGGATTAACCAGTCTTTTCTCTACACTATCACCACAACTGATCACCATATGTTATACTAACTAACTAACTAACTAACTAGCTAGCTAACTAGCTAACTAACTAACTAACTAACTAATTCTAGTAGCACCTAAAAGCTAACCATATTTTCTCCTACATTCTACAGCCTTTAGCAACATGCTAGTCATCCCTAAATCTTCTACACAGTTTCCACACATATAATATACATATATAGAGTGTTAGCAGAACGTTAGCACAACGTTAGCACAACGTTAGCACAACGCTTGCAGCAGCTGAGAGAAAGTGTTCCGTCAACATTCCAAACATTGTTTGATTCTAAATTAAAAATGTAGGAATCACAAAAATGAGAGGTATTTCAGCTACAGAGAATACTGCGTTGGTACACAATAAAACTACGTTCTAGAACATCTATAGACGGCTCAGCTTTACGTCACTTTTTGTCCGGACGAACACAAAAGAAAATCATCTTGAATATCAAACGACACAAAGGTTTTTTCAGCTTAAAAGCCTTCCTGTAAGTTAATACAGCACACGGCCTTGTTCTCAGTAAAGACGGAAAGAAGTTAATACAGCACACGGCCTTGTTCTGAGTAAAGACGGAAAGAAAGAAAGAAACAATTAAAAAAAAAAAATTATAATCTACTGCATCCACTGTACACGTCGCCCAGTAATGACTGATAATCCTGCACTTACTGTAGTTTACCTCCATGAACCAAATGCAGCTGCTGCTCTGGAGGATGATCTGTCCATTATTCTACAGTCTGTCCTCGTACAGAGAAATATTTATCTGCTCAGAGTTCTCTGTTAATCTGATTTCCATTACAGTTGTGAAATAAATGTTAAACAAAAAACAGCCCTGGAAAAGCTGTGATGTGGAAAAAATACCAATAAATTGTTTGTTTTTTTTAACTCCGAAACATTCTATACTGCAGCGGGGAAGTCAGAGCAGTAGAGAGTACTTCCTGGAGAGAACACAGAGAACACACAGTCATGCTAATCTAATGTTCAGGGTTCCTGCCGTTCGTACCTCCATCCGTGGACACGGAAGCCGGGGCACTGGTCTCCACACTTCATACAGGGCTGTCC